ATCGATTTCAGATTGAAGAAGTTGGTAGACTTCTATTTCCTCTTCACTGGCTTTAGTGGTTGGTGCATAAATTTGAATAATAGTGGTATTAACTGGACTTCCCTGTAGGCGCATGGATATTATCCTATCACTTACAGCATTGTACTTCATGACTGATCTGGATATGTTCTTTTTGATGATCAATGCAACACCATTCCTTTTCAATTTGTCATTCCATTCATAGTAAACCATGTGGTTGTCAGATTTAAAATGGCCAATACCAGTTCATTTCATCTCACTAATGCCTAAGATATCGATGTTGATGTGTTCCATTTAATTTTTGACAACTTCCAATTATCTCAGATTCATACTTCATACATTCCATGTTCCGATTGTCACTGGATGTTTACAGTTGTTTCTCTTCATTTTGAGTTGTGGCCCATCATCAAATGAAGGTTCTGTGGGCTTTTCTCCCACGAGCTTAACTCTATTCCCGTCATCATGGTCAACTGTACTTTGAGGAGGCATCTCTTCTCCAGTCACATTTTGAGTGCCTTCCAACCTGACGGGCTCATTTTCCGGCCCTGTATCTGACAGTGTTTCTCTGCTATTCATAAGGTTTTCAGTGACTAGCGATTCAGAAGTAGTTTGTCACTCTTTCTTCCTAGTATGTCTTTGTCTGGAAGCTCATCTGAAACCTGTCCACCATAGGTGACCCTGCTGGTTATTTAAAATACTGGTGGCATAGCCCTCAGAATCACAGCAACTCAAACCACTACAGCACGACAGACAGATGAGTGGTGGCCGTTTGGTTTTATGTTGAAACTGTCACTTTAAATTCCCATATCAATCGTGATACAATCCTGATGCAATACTTACACAGTCAAGATGTTCTCGCCTGATACAATCCTTATACAATCAAGATGTTCTCTCCCAAGATGACGACTCCGGGAACAGCAGAGTGTCTTGAACCAGAAAACAATGGATTTCTAGATTCTCCTACAAATTTCCCCAGGTGTAACCCTCTAGTCCTCCAAACATATCTTTATATTTGTTTCAGAGTTCCAGCACCATCCCCTGAGCCCTCTTGGCTATTCTGTGTTGTTGTTGACAGAACTCCTCAATGCACGTCTACCCGATTTGCCATCTTGATTGCGACAAGGTTGTATTCTTTCACCATACTTATTCAACCTGTATACTGAGCAAATAATACGAGAAGCTGGGTTCTATGAAGAAAAACGTGGCATC